AGTCTCCAAAAGGACTTGTGTTTCATGCCACGGTTTTCTCGGAGGGTGACATTTTCCCTCTGTCATTGTTGCTCTTTTTAAACTTCCCAGGAAAACAAGCCGACAGCTGGCAGCCTCGACCTAGCACAAAGATTTATTTCCAGATGATGAGAAAAGACATGTTAACCCGGTCCTTTTCTCTGCGCAGGGTTCTTTGGGTTTTTTTTTAATCCCATAAAGGAGGAGGAAAGAGGACCAAAAGACGAGGATTTCCGCATCTATCTGTTTTCTTTCTTGGCTATCCATTTGAGTAACAGTTTGAAAATTACCAGTGTTCAATTAGAGTTATCCTTTTCAAACAGATAGCTAATTAAATGTTAATAGCATAAGCAGGCAAAATATTTTAAACGCCATAAACCTCACAAATGTTTGAGACGTTTTGAATGCCGTAGTCTAGAGGCAAGGTAAAGCCAGAGCAACCTAGATGAGGGCATATCACGGCCTGAGGCTTCCCACTTCTCTGACTACTTAATATAGACAAGCCTCATTAAAACATACTGTATTTTGAAATCCTCTTTAAACAATGATGGCCTCAAGGAGAGCAGGTAGTTTCTTTCAATTAGTTCTACTTTTCTTAATTCTCTCCAGCAATCACACTTGAAAAAAGAATCAAGTAATTCTGATCATATAATCTCTTGAGAGTCTGAATAAATAACAGAGGTAAGAAGGAGCTTTTTTATTGCACTCAAGCAAAAGAAATGGGCTGTAACATAACAACGCTGAAAGAAGAGGTAAGGGAATCGTTCCAGTTTAAGTCAAAGGGAGAAGAGTTTGGTCCAGTACTGAACGTCCAGTAAAGCGCAGACATTGCAAACAGAACATTCAGGGTCAGAAATAAGACCAAAGCTCCTGAATTTCTCTGGCATCCAATGAATTCCAACATCTTTTTTTCTTTCCTTATCAGACAAAACTTACTTGCAGTAGAGAATGACTCTCACATGCCAGAGTCCACCTGCCATTCAGTACCAAGCACCTACAGCAAAGGACCTGGAGAAGTAAATCACAATGGCTGGTTCCTAACCCACACCTGTAAATATGATTTCCAGAAGCTACAGAGCCACAGGTACAGTATTAAACCAGCAAGGGAGCACTGAAGGACCGCCAGTTTGATGAGCCGAGAAGTTCCATGGCCCCTCCCTTTCATTATTCCTAAATTTTTGGCCTATTTGCTTCCCAAATCACAGTACTCCGAAAGCCAGGACAACCTTTTATCATCTTTTGAGACACCTGTGGAGAAAGTTTAAGAGCAGATGATTAAGATGGAAATGGAAGTGGGCTCAGTTCCCCTTATCCCCTGCTCTTCAACAAGTCACACATGAATGTCAGGCAGCACCTGGCATTGCTCTTTAAACAGCTGGCAGTGCTCTGTAAGGGGCCAATGACAGGTACTGTGATAAAGTCACCTTGTCACAATCAAGCGTTTCTCAGTAACTCAGCACACAATAGATGGAGGCTTGATTAAACAGCAGACAAAGAATGAAAAGCCCATCTGGAATCAAGGTGGCTGTAAGCCCTGGCGGTTAAATCTACTGTAGAGAACCAAAATAACGTGACACAGTAAACTGACCTGGTTCAATAAGGCTTTTATTACCTTCCTGTACCCACACACCTTTGCAGAATATACCTAAAGCGCCAGCTCAATTTTCCCACCCATCTTGCTTTGGTATGGAACCAGCGCTGGTCGAACCTCCTCCTTCAGGAACTTTGCCACCTGTTCAAGAAAGACGGGAAAGAGAAAATTAGCAAAAGAAAGGCTTCCCTTCTCCCCGTTCAGACCTGCTTGTCTCACTGGGGTCTCTGTTTCACAGAGACACCTAGCAGTCTGATACATCCAGGGTCAAAATTTGAAGACCACAAGGAAAGACAAGGAAGACAAGGAAAACAAGAGAAATGTGTCTGCCTTAGTAGCATGGGCAGAGGTACATAATATGTACACTCTCTGGCACACAAGAGAATGCAGGATTAAACAACACATTGCATTACAACCTGTAACACCCGTAGCCTCTTCCACTACTTTACCTGCTGAGGAGCACGTCCAGTGAAGGAGGAGGGATCCAACAGGCTTTCAAGTTGTTTATGGATAGGGTTGAAGTAAGGATCAGCACGGACGCGGGCAATGAAGTCATTATCACCTCCTTCCTGTTTCACAACAGCAGCTGCTTGCTGGGAGAGAACGCGAATCTTCTCATGGCAATCCTGTAGGAGCAGGGGGAAGAGGAGGGGAAAAGAAGAAAGTCACTCCATTGCTACTGACAGCACAAGTTCATCCCGCTAACTTGTGCGGGGAGGGGAGAAACATCAAAGCATACTGCACTGGACAGCATGCAAATGAGACACAGCTTGGACTGCAGTGTCTCTTATACCACTATGTTAGAACAAGATTTTCTTCATCCTTCCACATCTGCCCTTTGAGGCTAAAACAGTCTGAATGACATGTATGTTCCCTGTTCAATTGTACCACAAACTTACAACACTGGAATCCTTTACACTTCCTCAAGCTCTCCAAATACTCTTAGGAGTCACTATAGGATTTTTTCTTCAGTTGTTCTATTCCCTACTTGCATGATTTTTCCAAAGACAGACTGTAGCTGTTCCCAAAATATTCTATGAACTGTAATAAAGGAATTCCTTATTCATCACTAGTCATCCCCTGTATGGAACGTCTTGGGAGCATAACAACGTAAAACCTCTACAGGTTTGGAAAAGGGAAAAGAACCTGTCTAACTTGATGAGCAGTGAGACTATGTAAATCATGGCTTACATAAGGACAGAAGGGGAAAAACAAACCTGAGGGCCTTAAAACATTCTCTCCCAAACAACCCTCACATGACACCAAGGCTGGCAAAACCCTTATCACAATTTTTCTGAAATACTTCCTAATCCCTTGATTTCCTGTGGAATCTATCTGTAAACACACGGGAACCCAACTGTAGTCAGGGACCACCTGCAAAATCAGATGCTGCCATGCTGGCCCTAAAATACAGTCATGTGGTTGCATTTACAGCCATGTAACACTTCTTCTCACATGTATTATCCTTGATCTATCTTCAGTTAGGAGGAAAATGATCTCCTGTTCCTTGTTTCATTCATCCAAAGGCCATCTTGCTCCAGCACTGACCTGCCTCGGGTGAATCCAGATCTGTCTTCTGGATGTTTAGGGGAGGGAGCTGTTCAGTGGTGGGGAAAGGAAGTGAGTTTCTATGCTATGAGGTGGGAAAGCATAGAAAATGTGCTGTTCCGGCATTCCCAGCACAGGAACACAGAACATACTAATGTGAATAAGAACAGATTTTAAGTGTACTAAACTATAGATTTGTAATTAAACAGCACCAGAAAGAAGGTACGCCAATAACAAACACAAATGAAATTCACTCTTCAATCTAATCAAAATGGAGAGGACTGTTTAGGTAAGTATGTGATACTTTAGAAAGAGAACCAGCCGAGAAGATAATGAAACTTATCCACATGATGTAACCCTTAGTAAGTTTAGTTAGGAAGCTTACTAACTGACCCAGTGACAAATATCAGAGACACATGGGGGGAAAAAAAAAGGAAAAAGGATTTTTCCTGACTAACATCACCGGTGAGCTGCCACAAGTGTTTCAGAGAACTAGAACCACACATCCTACTCAAAGCTTCTAGCAAACCCTTTTGCTATTACTATCTTGCAAGTTTAACTTCTGTCCCTGGTGTGGAAATAATCATAGAAGGAAAAATTA